AGATAATAGATAAAATTAATAAATTTAACAGTAAATTTATACGACCAAACAAAATTGTATAGCAGTTCTAAAAATCTTCTAAAATATTGTTCAGCTTATTGTTTGATACATGAAACAAAATTAACATGGAAATGAAGAGGATACACAAATCGTATTAATTATTCATTTGAGATGGGGACGCCACCTATGAGCGTATTTTAACCTAAATATGAGTGTAGAATGGAGTGAGATGCCTTTTGTAGCTTTGTTACTGGCCTGTTTCGAATTATTAACACACTTAAAGGCAATTTATTGACCAAACAAGAGGATATGCTCGAAACGCACAGGTCGGCTGTCGGGCAAATACTGAGTGCGTGGCACAACTTGGCAACAGTGGACAGTTTTCTGAAAGCTTATTGGATACCGCTTGCCCTCACCCCACCCGACTCGAACTTGTTTCGGTCCTATTCTGTAATCTATTCCACTATAGTTACTTCACACACACTCATCTATATATATAAAATCCAATGTATGTTTGTATATTTGTATGTTTGTCCTTTATGGACTCCAAAACCGCTCGACAGATTGTAATGAAACTTTCAGGCATTATTAAGCATTATTCAAGGATGGTTTGTGTGAAGTTTGGTGCAGATCCGTCAATAGGGCTCCGCCCCAGTGGCTCTGGAGTTTCCCATGTTAACCTTATGAGTACTGTACTCATATTTAAATGGAATTAAAGAATCTTAACAGCTGGTGCAACTAAACAATTTGATTCTGTGATGTTCAATATCATTAAAAAGTTAATAGGTTTACCAACAGGGTGCAGCACTATATTTATTTTTACTTTCTCCCCCTATACCATAGTATATGGAGAAAGTATTGTTTTCGTCAAAATTTTCGAGTTTGAGTTTTGAGTGGATATATTCGTTTTGGGTCCCCCTGGACCCAAAAAAGTAGTTTTCGAAGTGATGTCTGTGTGTGTGTGTGTGTGTGTGTGTGTGTGTGTGTGTGTCTGGCTGTGTACAGAGCTAGGGACTACACCTGTGGTCCGTTCGATGAAATTTGGTATGTAGGTTCTAATCCATGGTATCTCCAGGCTTTTTTTCATTTTTTTGAAATTTTGATTTTTAATGGGGATTTTCCCATTAAACCCCATAAAAAACCGGAAAAATCAGATTTTCTCAAAAATGGCCCAAACGATTTTGATAAAAATTTAGTATGTTGTAGCCCTTTAAATTCTGAACAAAATGGTACAAATCCAATTTCTGTAAAAATTACGGTTCAAAAGTTATTGTAAATTATGTTATTTTCCCATAAAAACCCCATAAAATAACAAAATACCCCCGCCGCAGCAAACCTGCAGACCAAGCGAATTTCCATTTGCCTGATTGGATTTACACTAAAATGTCTCCTTAAAAATATCACATTTATTCCCTATTTAAATAACATTAGTTTAACGAGTACTTAGGTTTGCTGCAACAGGGAGGGTAAAAAGGTGTTTTTTTGTAAAATGTTAATAGTTTAGTATGAAATGAACACATTTTCCAAATTTGATCAAAATATGATCATAAACAAGCAAACTACAACAGTTTACTTATTCTCCACAAGAATAACATGGGAATTTTAAATTTACAGTTTTTTGGAATTTTCTCCGTAACCATTAGGCGCATAATAACGCTTCAACATACTAAATTATTTGTTTTTTTAAGATCTACAAAATGGCTTGGAAAGAAAATGCTAAATTTTAAGTTTTTAGGGTCAAAAATAGGAAAAACCAATTTTTGCCCCATAAAACCCCCCATAAACCCCTGTTCCCATAGTCCGATCATGCTGGTTCGCGAACTCGTTCGAATAAATGTAGGTTTACACATTTGTACCAAATTTCATCAAAATCGGATGATTTTTGCTCGAGTTATCGCGCTAACGGACACATATATAAATATATATATATATATATATATATATATATATAAATATATATATATATATATATATAAATATATATATATATATGAATTTGAACGGATGGTGTTTTTGGTCTCTAGGGACCTCAAAACGAAAAAGTAAATCGGTCCCGGGTCCAGGTCTTACCATGAGTACTACGGTAATAGCTTATTCCCTATATGGGAAATTCGCTAAAATAAAAAAATAGGATTTTAGAAAAAAATCCGGTTTTGATTTTACATAGTACCTATGTTATAGTCCTTACAATTGTGATAGTTTTTTTTTGGAAATTTTGATTTTTAATGGGGAGTTTCCCATAAAACCCCATAAAATAACGGAAAAATAGGATTTTCCCTAAAATGGCCCGAACGATTTTAATAAAAATTTAGTATTTTATTGTCATTTATATTCTGAACAAAATGGTACAAATCCCATTTTTGTAAAAATTACGGTTGAAAAGTTATTGTAAATTAAGTTATTTTCCCATAAAAACCCCACAAAATAACGGTAAAATCGGATATTCCCAAAAATAGCCCGAACGATTTTGTTAAAAATTTAGTATGTTTTAGCCCTTTTCAATTCAGAACAAAATGGTAGAACTCCCATTTCTGTAAAAAAAATACGGTTTAAAAGTTATTGTAAATTATGTTATTTTCCCATAAACCCCATAAAGTAACAAGTGGGATTTTATAATAAGCCGTTTTTTATTTAACTTAAACTATGCAGGTAAAGCCGTTTATACAACTCTCCAAGGAGGTGTATAATCAATACACCTCTTTCAGCTAAGTCCAAAATCTTGATTGCAAATTTCAAGTGAGGCAACTCGACAACTCGTAATTATGTTATAATTTTGCTTCATGTTTGTATTCTTGCAACCAATTAATTCATAAAGTTACATCAAATGAAATCTAATCATTTATTTAACCAGTATATTAACAAAACAAGTTGCATTAGCTAAGTCATAACATTTTTTAAACATGCCTTACAGAGGTCTACATATACAGTATATACACACACAGGAATTTACAAAATGGCTTATATAATACTTATAAATAAAAATAATATCAGAGACTTATAAATCAATATTTACAATAGCATTCCTATAGAGCTGATATGAGTTAGGAATTATATAGATAGGTCTCAAGGTTATTCAACTATGGATTTAACTACAAGGATCGCTCAACATATATATTATCTAACAAATTCAAACTTAAATGGCTATCAAAATTATTCCTAACGTCTTTGACATTAGGTCTACACATTGGGTCCAAGAGTGTGCTAGCGCCATGTGTTTGGATTGTTTTAAAAATCCTAATGAAATCTCATTGTTGAGTTGCTGAAGCTGAGTTAATACGGAGAGTACTGAGTAAGTAAAAAAGTTTTGCTTGAGCTTGAGACAAAGTTCAGCGACGGCGAGTTTATTTGGCGATACATCAATAATTTAATTATTGAAAACTAGGTGAGATAAAACCATAAACTATTACTTACTAGAATTAATTATATGCTCAGTTATACTATAGATAATATTAGTATGAGTAATGAAACTAGGTCGGAAGTAGTCCACCAAAAACACACACTCATTTTACTTAAAGGAAAGCACAACGCGCTTGAACCATAGATAGATCAGTATAATTAGGCCTAGTAGGTCTATCATTACATATCAATATATTTCCATTGGTAGGCTGGAAGTAGTCCACCAAAAACACTAAACAATGATTTTACTCAAGGAAATCACAACGCGCTTGAACCATTGATAACTTAGATCAGTTTAATTAGGCCTAAGTTAGTAGGTCTATAATTACGTATCAATATATTTTCCATTGGTAGGCCTATGATGTCGTTTGTACCAAACTTTTATACATTTGGCATCAGCTGAATAAAATGCCAAAACCAATGTTGTGTAGTGTACACGAAGACAAAATGAATAATGGCCTTGTTTAATTTACGAAAGGAAGAGTTTGTTTACAAAAACACTTCACAATATTTTTGATTAAGTTAAACCATAGACTATGGTTAAACTATATCACAATGTACCTACAGGTAGGACAAATTATAATAGACCTATATGTTCAAGCTACTAGGTACAATAATAAGCTTACCTGTATAATAATACAAGCTTCTCAAACTAAGTTAGGCCTACATATTTTGATTTTTTATACAAATGGAATGTGATTTGGTTATTAAAGTTGCATTCATTCCTTTGGATGTATATAGGCCTAGTATTCAAGTAGCCTATATATAAAACTTATAACGTTTAAAGAAAAACCTTAGTGTAGTCAGCAATACATGACTAACATAAGTAACTTAGCCTACTTCTGACTTCTAAAGAAAATTGGTCTGTAAGTTCTAGGCCTACTCAATCTCATAACATTGATTAAGAAAGTAGCCTAAGTTGATTTACCAATTGATTTGTTGGGAAAGTTAATTATGTTTAAAACAAAAATTCAATATATTTTAGTTGAACTACAAAATGACTTCTGATGACAAAAAAATAATTGATTCTTTCTACACAGCTTAAATAACAGATTTCGATACAAAAAATTAGTGTCACGACCAAGATTCAAACTCGGGACCTCCCGTACGAAGAGTGAGAGCGCTAGCCACTACACCACGCAGGCATGTCTACTGCGGCGAGCTCCTGAGGTACGGTAGTGACTGTTGTGAATCAAGTTTTACGAAATTACGGTGGCGCGCTGGGCCGAGTTGGTCTGAACTACGTAGGCCATTTTGATTTTAAGCACGTTGTTCTACTAGTTTCAGACAGAACATTGTTCCCGCGCTTTGGGTGTCAGGATATCAATGCTGTATTGATGTTGATTACACAACATGGAATACGGAAATCGATAAAATAAAGTATCGTATAGTTTATAAACACAAACTAAGCACATTCTTTTACCTAAACTGAACATAATTTTATTTTAATTTTGTATGTAAATTACATAAGACTTTCTCTGTTGAAGAAAACTCACAGACTCGCTAAATTTCAATTTACTGGAAAAGCAAAAACCTACATCTCCTATTCAAGCTTATGCGTATGGGTATGAAGGAAATTTCTGTTAGCCTATCATCAATCGCAAGGAAAATCCAAATGGGATAATAAATAACGTGAAAATCAAGAAGTGGAATTCAGCTTAAAAAGAATATATAAAGTTTAAATCTGGTATGTCAATGTTGTCAACCATTTAACACTACAATTTCCATAGTTACATTATTTAGACGAGTTTAATTTTCAATAGGTCATAAAGAAAAAATAATACTTTTAAAAGAGTATCATGTTTATTAAAAATCAATGTTATAATAGTAATAATATTAATAATATTAATAATATTAATGATGCTCCCTGGTGTGGATTAACGTCCGCACTAGTGAGTACTACGACTATCCGCAGTATTATCCTGATAATTAGACCAATTCGTAAATTACAAGGAAAAATGTGGTTCGGATTCCACTATAAACTGTAGGTCCCTTAGTTGCCATTAGCTGTATGGGCTATTAATTAACAGCTGTGTCTAAGGAACATGTCGGCCTTAGTCACTAACAAGACTACAAGATCGCGCCACTCATCCTACACTCATCCTTCACTCATATTTGGGTTAAAATACGCACATAGTGACGTCCCCATCTTAAATAATTGAATTGAATTGAATTGAATTGAGTATAGATATAAAATTGTTCAATACTATATCGATCTTTTAAGTAAAAGAGCTGCTGCAAAGCTACATTTATGCAAATTTTTCAACATTAACCTGGTGCATACAACATTTGTTTTTAAACAAAACATAATATATTTGTTTTACAATATTATGTTTCAAAACAAATAAGAATAAATTTGCTGCAAAATGTAAAGTTCCCGATGTTACAATTAACCACGATAGGTTATATATTAAAATATGTATCATTATACGCAATTCTAACATGAATAGGCCTATATTGCATTAGGATTTTTGTGTGTTGCTCAGTACCAATGCATGATTATTAAAATTTTTGGTAAGAAACTACATATAATCTGGTCTTGTTACTTCAGCGTCAGTTTAGTAAACAGTACACGATTTTATTTGTTGGGCAATGAAAATAGAGCTCGAATACTGCAACATGAAAAATATGTTTATAAACCAACCCATGACGTAAATAATTATGTAGGCTATCTTTTTAACTAACGCAAAGCTGTGTCACAGTCAATCGAAACCTTCATATTACATATAACATATACATGTAATATTATATGTACATTATATTATGCAATTTAATGCAATTTATGATTTTAATCATGTTATATTATGCATATATGCATTATGTGTTATATACATGAATATGTTATACACATAGCCTATTCATGAACTTTAAATCCAAGCTATTTGAATCTTTTTACATGAAGGACTTGATAATATTTTGAGTGGGAATATGAAAGCAAAAATTTATCTAATGTCCGTTAATAGGTTGAAAAAAAGAGTAATGAATGTAGACATACATTTTTTTAAATATTCTACGAGTCTAAAAATAAAAATAAAGTTCTTGTTTCATGTCTCACTAGGCATTACTGTTTTTTTCAAAATGAGACCAAATTCAAAATGTTATATCAACAAATAAACCCGTAGTTTGTGTTTAAATTTAACATTGCTCTTATGGGACTAAAAAACCAAGATGGTGGAGGTAGCCTACCACAGACTCTTAAAGGAAGTCGTTGAAGCCTTTTTTGAGATCTTTGTGTACGCATACATACAATCATACATATAAGCAAACATTGCTCATAGGTTCTAATGAGTCAATTAGTAGGCGTTTAGACCAATAGTTAAAAAGGTTCAGATCTAAAAAGAAAAAAAGCCTTGAATGATAATTGGAATTTCAACATAAGTACAGTAGGTAGGTATAGTTTTTCAAATAGTTTTAATTTTTCAAAATGATTTAACTTGTAATATCTGTTAAATATTATGATAGGAATTAGGCCTATACTAAAAATAAATATTTTTGCAGATATATTCCTGATCCTACTAACCAAACCAGAATAACAAGAGAAAAATATTCCCAACCTTACCAATTCCAGAATTACCTACTCCATCACCTTGTTCTTACCAGATAATCAAATTTGAAACTTCCAACTACAAATTTAATTAAAAATCTGAATCAAAATGTACAGTGATGTATTAAATAAACGGTATCAGCATTCTGACACATACTTTCTCCCATAAGTTTGTCAACAACCTTTATCATGTGTAAGCGCCAAGCGGTGAGAGTAAATATACGAAAATGGGATTTGTACATTTTCTTCAGAAATTAAAGGACTATAACATACTAAATTTGTATCAAAATCGTTCGAGCCAATTTTGGGAAAATCTGATTTTTCGTTATTTTATGGGGTTTTTATGGTAAAATAACATAATTTACAGTAACTTTTGAACCGTAATTTTTACAGAAATGGGATTTGTACCATTTTGTTCAGAATAGAAAGGACTATAACATACTAAATTTTTATCAAAATCGTTCAGGCCATTTTTGGGAAAATCCTTTTTTTCCCTTATTTTATGGGGTTTTATGGGAAAATCCCCATTAAAAATAAAAATTTCTAAAAAATGAAAAAACTATCAAAATTGTAAGGACCATAACATACTATGTTAAATCAAGACCAGATTTTTGTCTAAAATCCTATTTTTCGTTATTTTATGGGATTTTTAATGGGAAAATAACATAATTTACCATAACTTTTGAACCGTAATTTTTACAGAAATGGGATTTGTACCATTTTGTTCAGAATTTAAAGGGCTACAACATACTAAATTTTTATCAAAATCGTTCTGGCCATTTTTGAGAAAATCAAATTTTTCCGGTTTTTTATGGGTTTTAATGGGAAAATCCCCATAAAAAATCCAAATTAAAAAAAAAATTAAAAAAACGCCTGGAGATACCATGGATTAGAACCTACATACCAAATGTCATCGAAATCGGACCACAGGTGCGTGTAGTCTCTAGCTCTGTACACACACAGACACACACACACACACACACACACATCACTTCGAAAACCACTTTTTGGGTCCAGGCGGACCCAAAACGAATATATCCACTCAAAACTCAAACTCGAAAATTTTGACAAAAACAATACTTAAGATCTGTTCTTTAAGCCAATCATCTCGAAGGCCACGGATGAACTGGGCTCGTAAAAATACATCAGAGATTGAATTTGTTTTCTCGCATTCACATTTAATTGTAAATTCACAATCGACTAAATCTCGCTGAAGTGAGGCTACGAAATCTGATATTGATTGACCATTCTTTTGATAAATATTCAAAAAGTAATGTTGAGAAACGACTACATTTTTCTTAGGAACAAGCATTTGAGTTAGAACTTTGACAAGATCATCGTAAGGTAAGTTTTTTATTGGTTTCTCTGGGCCTAGAAAAGCTGATAGGGCATTGTAATGTACTGACCCAATAGATACACATAAGAGTTGAGCAATACTTTCCTTTTGAGTCAGGCCTTTCAGAGTATAGTAATTTTCAAAGCGTTCTAGATAATTAGAAAACTTTTCACGTTTAGGTTCGAAATTTTCAAATGGAGCAATATTTGTAAAACTTACTGATACCTCCAACTTCTCATGCCTTGTGAAATGTGAGAATAATTGTTGAAACTGTTCTTGTTGTTGCTGTTGAAAAACTTGTAGGAATTCCTAGAATTGGTCAGCATCCATTGTGGTTCAGTCAAATGTGATGAAAGTAGTGTAGGTTGAATGATTGAAACAGATTTAATAATAATTACAAATTATTTGAACATGTAAAATGTCATTATTTCGATTTTTACTCGTCGCCAAAAAGTGTTGTGACCGTACTATTGAAATACACGCACATTGTAAATTATATCTTTTTATTTTAACACCATAATGTTTGTAGTGTAATGTTTTCAAAAGTAACAATAAGAAGTGTTTACTATTTAATATTTACCAACAGCTGACTATTTAGAATAGAGTAATAGAACAAGATTATGACAGATCAGATGATGACTACAAGAACACGGAGAGAGAGAGAAACAGCAATATAATGAAAAAGCTTAGATCAGATGATGATTTCAGGAGCACTGAGAGAGAGAGAAACAGCAATATGATGAAAAAGCTTAGATCTGACGAAGATTATCGAATAAGAGAAAGAGAGAGTGATAAGATAAATAAAGCTGTAAAAAGAAACAATGACTTTTTAAGATATCGAGAAAAAGTTCAAAATGAGCTTCGAAGGAATGGGTCACAAGAAGCTAGGCTAAAATAAGATGTAATTAAATTAAGAAGTTATCGTCCAGAATTTGTTTGTACTTTTTGCGAAGGATTGTTTTTCTTACATTCTATAAATTCTTTTAAAAACTCAGATTTCAGTAACCTTCCTAACATTGATACCTCTATATTTAGCGAATGTAAATGGATTTGTCACACATGTAATAAATATATTAAAAAAGGAAAAGTTCCGCCACTTTCAGTTTCAAATGGGTTAAAGTTTCCACATGTTCCAGAGTGCCTAACTAGTTTGTCTGATCTGGAAGAAAGAATGGTTGCGCCTTATATCAATTTTATGCAAATCAGACCATTACAAACACATACATTAAATTCCCAGCTTGGAATCAAAGGATCAGTTATCAATGTGCCAATTGAAATTAATGATATGGTTCAAAAACTGCCTCGCAATTTTGTAAATATGAATACAATACAAATCAAATTAAAAAGACATATAACACATGCTTCAGATTATATGTATGAAACTATTCGGCCTTCTGCAGTTTGCCAAGCATTGTCATACTTAAAGGACACCCCACTATATCAAAAGTACAATATAATAATTGATGATACATTTTTTCAACAATACTCAACACATTCTGATGAAAATGTAAATTTCATTGTTGATTCTAACGATGAGGCACAAGTACCATCCACTGCAATCAATTTGGAAAGTGAAGAGTTCTGTGAGGAAGACAATGAAGAAGTGCTAATCATTGATAGAAATTTAGAAACATCCCTTAGTAGTGTTGAGGTCATTGCACCAGGCCAGGATAAACAACCAGTGCCATGGCACATCCAGCCAGATATTGAAGAACTGTCGTTCCCTAAAATTTATGGTGGATTCCCAATGGATATAAAGGGGAAAATATCTTATGCAGACAGAGCAAAATCTGAAGAAAGACGTTCCGATAGAAGAAGCTGTACTCCTACTAAATTGTTATATATGGCAAAAAAGAAACTAGAGTTGAGCTGTGTTTCTAATATAAATGTTTGCTTGAGAAAAAAAAAAATCAAATCTAGTTTAACTGTCACTGATGCATTAAATGATTGTTTCGTCAACAGTTTAATTAATCATGATGATGGTTTTAGAGTATTGAACCAGGTAAGATCATCTCCAGCCTACTGGGAGAACAAAAAGAAAAACTTATTTTCCATGATAAGACAGTTAGGTAAACCCACGTTATTTATTACACTATCATCTGCTGAAAAGTTCTGGCCTGTATTAATTCAACTTTTGGCAAAATTGCTACAAAATAAAACAATTAGCATCGAAGAAGCTTTGTCACTGTCTGATAATGATAAAACTCTATTAATTCGTAATGACCCAATCACCTGTGCTCGATATTTTGATCAAAAAGTTTCAAAATTAATGAAATACATAAAAGAGAAAGATTTTGGCCCTTTTGGAAAACACACTGTTATTGACAGTTATGAACGAGTAGAATTTCAAATGAGAGGCTCTCCACACAAGCATATATTTTTATGGCTTAAAGATCCACTAAACCAAGAAAATATTGAGGGAAATAATATAGAGACGTGCATACAGTTTATAGATAAGTATATCACATGCGAATACCAGGAAGACAACGCATATATGAGTTTTATAAAACATCGCCATACTCACACATGCTACAAAGGGAGGAAAAATAAAAATAAATGCAGTTTTAACTTTCCAATTCCAATGATGCCATTTACAACTTTCTCCTCTAGACAAAATCTCTGCCTCATTTATGGCTTTTAGTCAGAGATCGATGGTTTTAGTTTTTACAAAATTTATTTGTAAAGTCTCGACACCTTTATAAAGCAGAAAAATGTATACAGCGTTTAAAAGTTATTTATATTTTTGGAAAACAATTTTAAGCAGAATTTGATCATATTCTGCAGCAACATCAGCTGTTTTCAATGTACACTATACTTACGTTGCGGGGCTAAACTAGTTTTGTGTTTCTTCCTCCATACAGGCAAAAAATGAATCAGCTGATGTTGAGGATATTAGCTGTACACATTGATCAGCAAATGCTATTATTGTACTTGTGTTAATAATTATGTTACATTTTACAAATAAAATACCCCTTTATCTGCTTGTATGAATATTCAAATGTAATATAATTAACTAAAAACCTGAATTTAATATTGTGTTGGCGGAGTAATACACACATGCATATAAAAATAACCTCGTTGTTTGCAATCGCATTCAATATTCAACAGTTAAACCACATTCAATTCTATTTAATTTTGTCTTTTTAACAGATGATTACTAAAAATTGGTTTGTATTACAATTTGATAATAAATAAAGTTTTAGTGTTGTTAAATGTTCACCAAGTTAGTATAATTAACAGATATAATTATTTTGAACAATTCTGATCTTAATTTACTTTTTAGATTCAAGGCAGAGCCAGAAGAAGCCAAGCATCGCACCATGTCGGACAGGTTGGATGACTATACTACCCCAGATCAACAGAAAAAGTGAGTTCAAACATATAAATATCATTCAACCAACCATCTAGATTCTAATAACAACCCTAGTGGAAGTGATCAATATATATCAATACAAAAATTGTATATTGATACGTATTGATACGTATGTGTATTTGGGCCAATACACATCAATACACATCAATACATATCAATACAAGTAAATATAGGATCCGAGTCATTAGCTTAATTGAAAATAATTTGTAGCTTGTTAAAAAACAATTTTTAATTTGTTTCAACACATTGAATCACATCTACTATGCACTAAAAATAAAATAAAAATGAAAAAGTAAAAAAAATCTTGTCAAAAAGCTCTAGGTGTTCCCGAGATTTGAACCTGGGACTCCAGCATGGTAGCCGGATGTCTAAGCCATTACGCCACGGACTCTTCATGTCTGACTGAGTGATGATAGCCACTTTGAATGCGAGAAGCTGTGTTAGGCCTCATAATTAAACTTTGAAAAGATTCTTCAATGGCATTTGTGTCATTTCAAGCATGTACCTATATGCTTTAACATGTTTCAAAACTGTTTTATTACCAGTTCAAACTGTTTTCTTGCTACTTGGGTGATGTGAATAGTGTGTCAATACAATTTATTTTGATTGATTTCTAGAAATAAGGAATTCAATTCAATAATGAATTTGTGAGTAATTTTTATCCCTAATAACCCATTAGGAAAGAAATTGTTAAAAGTTGTCGAAAGTTGTATTACAATTGTTGTATAACAATTTTAAAACATTTTGATTTAAACTTCATATTACAACAATGTTGATATAGGATTGAAACAATTTTAAAAATGTTTAACAATAAGTTTTTTGCAGTTGAAAAAAATAAGTTTCAATACGAGCTGTAACTGTTTTACAACAATTTTAAAATTGTTTTACAATCAGTTTTTTGAAGTTTAAGAAAATTAGTTTTAATACAAGTTGTAAACTGTTTTATAACAATTTTAAAATTATTTAGCAATCAGATTTTGGCAGTTTAAAAAATATGATTTAATACAAGTTGTAGGCTAACTGTTTTACAACAATTTTAAAATGATATATTTTTAAATTATATTGAGTTTTAGGTACCTCAGCTAACGTCTATGACCTAAAACTAAAGTTTTTCCTTTTTTCAAAAAATAACATTTTTATTACTGTTTATTTAACCACTTTACATTGATATTTTGTATAATCCATAATGCTCATTTGTGATACATTTGAGAGATATTTTGATTTTTATTTACCCGTATTGATGTCTATTGATTTATATTTACATCTAACATATTTAAAAAATATTCTCTATTGATATCAATGAACGATTTGTTTGCTCTAATGATCTATATTGATATATTTTATGTTTATAGATGTCTAGTGATATGTATTGACTAAGTTTTCAGTGATGTCTATTTGTTTGTATTTACTTGTAATGATATCCATGAACATCTATTGATATCACTAAGCATCTAGTGATATCAATAGATTTTTTCTATTGATTTCTATTGATGTCTTCCACTAGGGAAATTATGGGGGTTCTGGCAGTTATCATTTGATTCAATCAAAGTTTTCAAACACAAAAGAAATTCTCAAATTTAAAGACACCTTGTTGGTCACCATTGTACATTTGTTATTGTCGTCATCTTAAATTGTGCTAAAATTGTGAATCATGTGATTGTGAATGTAAAAGTTCTACTCAAGGTCCATTTTCCGACTTGGTGCTCAACCTCTCAAGCTTAAAAACCATGCTTGGCTAGGCTTAAAAATTAGCCTCTCGCACACCTGTACAATCCAGTAATCTTTATTGTAGGGAGTGTCAAACTTGAATCATAAAATCAATTGTGCCTTTGTCTGGTGGCTTTCCCAGTTTTTATAGTATAAGTTGAACTAGTCATTTGCTCAGCACTTCAGACTACCTTTGTGAAGGGAATAGTTTAATAGTTTAAAGATGTTAATACTTACCGGTACCAACTCGAGTACTTAAGATTTTTGAATTTATATTATGGTGGTTTGTCCACAGAAAACGTACTACTATAACCCAGAATGCCAACCGCATGGTAAAAAGCATTAAGTGTTTTGAGAGAGCTTTGCCTGTCAATCCGTAGGCAGCGCCACCAGCGTTGCCATGCAATAGCATAGCAACGCTGGTGGCGCTGCCTACGGATTGACAGGCAAAGCTCTCTCAAAACACTTAATGCTTTTTACCATGCGGTTGGCATTCTGGGTTATAGTAGTACGTTTTCTGTGGTTTGTCTTGTAAACCTTGTTGATTTTAATTCTGTGCAGGTCTGGCACCAGAGGTATCTATAGAATATCTTATAAACATTTTACTTGGATATTTAAAATATCTATAGGCTAGATGATCAATATCCAGATATTTATATTTGTTAGATATCGTGAAGAAGTTTAAATGTCACTAATTTCAACTTTCTATTATTTTTGTAGTTTTACTTTTACTTTTATTACTTTTAATTATAGCTTTTAACATTTAAATAAGGACATAGATGAACTTGTAACAAACTTTATTTCTATTCAAACCATTCTTCATTATTGATCTTATTTTCATAACACAAAACCAAAAACATATGATATTAAGCTATTAACTATTTGACAGTTTCTAGGAGGCAGAACATTTTGCCATTACACAAAGTACTATAAGTAATTTCAACATACCCCCTTAATGGTAAAATGTTCTCTTTATCTTTAAACTGTCAACATGTCTCTGAATTTGTTGAAGTTTGGATATGTGAGAGGTTTTGTGAACAAATCAGCTATCTGATCATCAGTCGGGCAGTATTTAATTTCAAATTCTTGATTCTGATATTTTTCACTCAGATAATGAAATTTCACCTCAATATATGTCTTCTTTCTGTTAAACTTAACTGACCAGATTTAATTAGTTTTATAGAACTTTGGTTGTCCACATACAAAGTCATTTTTACTTGTTTTCCCGTTATCTCTTCAATCAAAGTTCTCAGATATGTTAATTCCGTACAGCAATCTGCAGCGGCAATGTACTCAGCCTCTGTTGTAGATTTTGCAACAGTGTTCTGTTTTCGTGATCGCCATGATATTGGTCCCCCAGCATAAATTATATAATAACCAGTGGTACTTTTTCTTTGATTCTTATCACCAGCATAATCAGCATTGCTGTATGCAATAAGTTCAAGTACTTCTTTTTCTCGTTCTTGTGACTTAGAGAACTTTATTCTTCTGTATTGGGTACCTTTAAGATATCTTAGAGTTCTTTTAACATTCTGTACATCTTCTTTCTTAGGTCTCTCCATGAATCTACTTTCGTAACTAACTGCATATGACAAATCAGGTCTAGTTTTACTTGTGAGATATAGTAAGCTTCCAATAATTTATCTGTAGTTAGAATTATCATCATCAGATTTTAAATTTTGTTCTTCCTGATTTTGTGGTGATATTGGGGTTTTAACTAACTTGCAATCTGCCATGTTATATTTTTCCAGCACTTGTTTAGCATACTTCTCTTGGGATATGTACAAACCATCATTTCCCTTATTTAGTTCCATTCCCAAGTATGTTTTAGGATTTTCATTTCTTGTGATGCCAAACTCCATGTTTAACATTGTTATTAAATGCTCTATTCGTTGTTTGTCCTTTCCAAAAACGATACCATCATCTACATGAATTGCGATTATGATTTTTCCATGGTTGTCTTTAAAAATACATTGATCAGATTTTAGTTGATCAAGGCCTTGTTGTTTCAGAAAGGTTGTAAGTTTTTTATTCCATCGGCATGGTGCTTGTTTTAGACCATAAAGGGCCTTTTTCAGTTTACAGACCTTCCCTTTTTCAGTGTAACCTTCTGGTAGTTTCATGTACATTGTTTCATTTAATTCACCATGTAAGAATGCTGTTTTTACATCGAACGTTTGCATTTCCGTCTTCTTTAGCAGCAATTGCAAAAAGCAATCTCAGTGCACTTGAATCAACGACAGGACTGAATAAGTCTTTATAATCAATATCATCTGGGTTTTTGTTGGCATCCTCTGACCACAAGACGTGCTTTATACCGACCATCTTCCTTAATTTTAAAAATCCATTTAGCTGTAAGTAATTTTTCTCTCTCAGCTTCTTTTTCATCAACCAATTCCCAAGTGTTGTTTATTTTAAGAGATTGTTTTTCCTCTTCTATTGCTTGCATCCACTTATCTCGATCTGAACTTTTCATGGTTTCACTATATGTCATTAGCACTTGGTCTTCCTCTAAACAGTAGTCGTCATATATTTTGGGTTTTTTTATCACTCCTCTTGGACGAAGGTTGTATCCTTCTTCTTCAATATTTTTATCCAGGTTTCTATCTTCATTTATAACTCCGCTTTGATTTTCATCATGTACTTCTTGGCTTTCTCTAGGTCTATCTTCATATATTACTCTTTGGTGTTCTCTTGGTATACCTTCATTTATTACTCTTTCTTCACTTTCATCACCTACTTCTTGGTGTTCTATTATTTCATTTTCCATTTCATTTATTTTTTGAGGTTCTTCTACTTCACCTTCCCAATTACTGTGTTCTTCATTTGCTTCTTCAAATTGTTCAAATATTTGTCCATTATGTAATTTATTTTCTTTGTATTCACAGAAAAATTTAGATGTGAAGATCACATCTCTACTAACAAATGTCTCTCTTCTTTCTGGATCGCATAGCCTGTATCCATTCGTGGCGTATCCAACAAACATGGCTTCTTTACTCCTTGAGTCAAGTTTTCTTAAAGGCTTTATAACTTTGGCATATACTTTCTTGACAAAAATCTGAAGATTACTTAAATTTGGCTTCTTTCCATACCACTTTTCAGCGGGAGTATTACTTGATCCAGTTGTAGGACTTCTATTAGCAAGATAAGCGGCTGTTAACACAGCTTCTCCCCACATCTCTTTGTCACATTGGGCTTCAAATAATATAGATCTGGCTTTGTTCATTAAAGTAAGATTTAGTCTTTCAGATTTCCCATTCAGTTGTGGAGTATATGGAATTGTAAAA